TCATGGAAGTCATAATTGATTACAAGACGTTAGGTATAATTTGGAGCTCTGTGGCAATTCACATTGTAAAAGGGATTAAGGGAAAATGGGTACGTTAATGATCTTTACTGCACTTCCCTCTAAGACACAAATAGGAGCAGCTCTTAGCAGGATTATTTGATCAGTAGATGCCTGATCTTAGTGTGGGGATTCTCCTCGCATTAATTAAAAATGTCTTGAGGAAACAACAATTTTATTTGCAGTCCAGTTGAGGTACAAATAGCTGTGCCCAGTGTATCTGTGGCATCCTGCTCTCACCTGAATTCACTTTTGAAGTGTCAGTCAACAAGATACTTTGTATCTTGAAGTAGGTGGATCATGTCTTTAAAGTTAGAAAGGATCACAACTTGTGAGGTTGTGGCTCAATTCCAGGGGCTCTAGACAAACTATGCAACCTTGAAAACAATGACTATCTGAAGCCAAGGCCCAGGAAGCTAGTTGTTGCAACTGTATGAATGGAACACCTAGTTAGCCAAGCAGTTGATAAAATCCAGGACAGTCTGGGGGAGGAGAGTGGATCAATTTCTGCCCCACTGCAATGTCAATGAGGCTTCTAGTAGAGGACCCTGTGAGGTCCCAGAGGTGTGCTTGCACTTTCTGATGAGATGTGGTGGTCAACCCCAGCACTGGCCCATGATTCCATGAGATGTCTATGTCCCCATAGGGAAAGGATATTTGCCCATGGGGACAGATGGGGAAGATCAGCTATGGAAGAGAAAGGGCAAATGTACATTTATAACAAATAATGGGTTATAATGGAAGAGGCCCTTCTCCACTTCATGATGGGGATCGTCTGTTGAAATAAAAGGCCCCAATGGTGGAACAAGAGGCAGAGAATTTAAATTACTCAGCATTTCTTATTTCCAAAGGTGTGCAGCCAGTGGAGGTAGAAACAAAATAGAAAGTTGTCTGGGGGAAGGAAATTGGGAAAGCAGAGATTAATAGAGCAAAATTAATTCGGGTATTTCCCAAAGCCCTTTGGAAGGGTAAAATGGAGGACTGAAAACACAGTAATTGAGTAAACTCATTAAAGCCATGACAAGTCCAAAAAAAGAGGAAGAGCAAAGGGCAACAGAGGTGGTACCTTTCCCATCTGAGCCTTTCACAGAATGTTTAGAAGGCTGAGCTCGTCAAAAACCTGTATATTTAGATTTTAGCCTTGTAAGCAAGCAGAATGCAAAAAATAAGTAAATACCTAAATAGGCCAGGCACAGTGGCTCACACCTGTAATCCCAACACTTTGGGAAGCCGAGGCAGGCAGATCACTTGCGCTCAGGAGTTTGAGACCAGCTTGGCCAACGTGGTGAAACCCCATCTCTACTAAAAGTACAAAAATTAGCCAGGCATGGTGGAGGGCACCTGTAGTCCCAGCTACTTGGGAGGCTGAGGCAGGAGAATCGCCTGAACCTGGGAGGTGGAGGTTGCAGCAAGCCGAGATCCCACCACTGCACTCATTCTGGGTTACAGAACGAGATTCTATCTCAAAACATAAATTAATAAATAAATAAAATTAAATAATAAAGGAGGGAGTGCAGCAATTCCAGAGGCTGGGAGTGAGTTTTTGCAATGTGACAAGAGAGTGTTCGGGATGCCAGTTGGTTCTGAGGTTTATGAGTTAAGTCTAAGGCTGGCTTTCGAAGGAGCAGTTTTAATTTGCATTTTCTTTTCATTCAGGAGGCTGAATCTGCTTTAAAATGTTGAGCTAGCCTTGGGTTTTTGTGTTTATTGCTTTCCATATTGATGGGTAGTACTCTTATATATTAGACTAGCCTTTACCTATGATAGAGAGTTGCAAGACTGTTTTCAGTTTGGCCTTCGTCGTTTGGATTTGCTTGCTGTGGTTTTGTCGTCAAGAGGGTTTTAGCTTTGTACAGGTAAAGTTGACAATTTTTGTTTTCTGTTAGGTCAACTTGATTTTGCATCAGAATGAAGAGGCATCCTCTACTCCAAGGTTCTGAAGACATTTAGTCGTGTTTTCTTCTAGCATTCTTTTTTTTTTTTTTTTGAGACGGAGTTTCGCTCTTGTTGCCCAGGCTGGAGTGCAATGGCGCGATCTTGGCTCACTGCAACCTCCACCTCCTGGGTTCAGGCAGTTCTCCTGCCTCAGCCTCCTAAGTAGCTGGGATTACAGTCTTCTAGCATTCTTATGGCTTAGTTTTTTAGGCTTAAATCTCTGATCTAATTAGAAGCCATCCTATAGCATGCTAGTGTGAAGTATAGGTCCAAGACCTCATGCCTAACCAATGTCTCACCATTGTTTATGGGATAACCCATTTTTCCCTATTAATTAGAGATGCCACTTTTATCGTATACTCAATCCATTTATGTATTGAGTCTATGTTTGGACTTTCTATTTAATCCCATTAATCAGTCTGTTGATGAGCCAGTGCAAATTTGTTTTCATTTTTGAGGCTGCATAATATATTTGAATATCTGTTAGGGCCTGGACTCTCTCCTTGTTTTCCTGGTTTAAGGTTTCCCAGCTGTTCTGTTTTTCCACATAAATATCAAAATCAGCTCTCTACCGCTCCATCCCTCCCCACAGCCCACAAAGCTCGTATTTCTATTGAAATGTTAAATTAGTAAACAAGATAGGGTAAAGTGACATCTTTATAACATTATGTCTTTCTAGCCAAGAACACAGTGTGCATTTCTATTTGTTCAAGCCTGTGCCAAGGGAGTTTTAAAGTCTCCTATTAATAGGTGCTCACATTCCTTGTGTGTTCCTACATATTTTACCTTTTATTGCTGTCCTATCATCGTTGCAGCCAGTGGTTTTCCTAAGTTGTTGTCTTTGTACATATCTGAAAGCTATCGATTTCTGAATATTAGTTTGTGCTCTATTGTGTTACTAGTTTCTCTTTTCCTGCCTCGTAATTTCTCAGTTGATTTTCAGACTTCTTGGTAAACAATCACATCATCTGCAAACAGGGTGATTTTTACGTTTATCCTTTAATTTTATGCCTTGCATTTTTTCTCTTCTATCATTGAATTGGCTGATTCCTCCAGTACAATATTATACAATGGTGATGACAGTGGTGGATGTTTATTCTTCCTAACCATTAATATTTTGGCTAAATTTATTTTATTCTATCAAGTTAAGGAATCTCCTTTTATTTCTACTTTATTGGGTTCTTATAAAGAATGATATTTGAACTTGGAAATATGCCCTTTTTAGTGTCTATAAAAATGGCTATTTGCTTTTTCCACTCAGGCCCATAATATGATAAAATATATGCCTATTACTGAGTTAATGTTTAACTATCCTTTTTTTCTTGGGAGAAAATATGATTGATTATGTTGTATTGTTTCATTAACCTGCTGCTGGATTGTGATAGAGATACTTCATGTGGAATTTTTGCATCACTATTTATATGTTATAAAATTTACTGTCTTTGCCACATTTGGTATCACTATTGTATTAACTTAATAAAAAGAATTTTGAAGTCTTCCTTCTTTTTCTATGCCCAGCAACAATTTAAATAATTTTGGATTTTCCCTAAGTGACAAATAAAAGTTGTATTTATGGTGAACTTATCTGTTCTTTAAAGGTTTGGGAGAATTTGTCTGTGAAATCTTCTGCCTGTTTTTGTTTGTTTGTTTGGTAAATAGCTCTATTTTCTATATTACTTCCATTTAAATGATCTGATTTTCTGTCTTTCCTTTTGTCCATTTTGACATATATATTTTTCTAGAAATTATTTGTTCCAAGTTTTAAAATTCATTTACGTTGGGGTAAGAAATATGAAATTTTATGCTTCTTTTTACTTCCTTTAAATGTATGATTGTCCTCATTATTCTTTCTTTCTTTTGGTTTATATAGTATCCTTTTAAAATGAAATAAGTAGTTTATCTTTTCCAATGTTTTTTCCATAAATAGCTTTTGAATTTATTAGTTCTTTTTATGTGTTTATAACTCATTTGCTTCTCTTTAGTAATTCCTTCTGATATTTGTTTTGCTTCTTTTATTATACTCTTTCTGAGTGTTTGAAAATGATGTTTAAATGATCTGTTTTCATTTTTTTTCTGAAGAATAAATGTTTAAAAATAACACATATTTAAGAATATAAATTTTCTTGTGACATTACTTTAGGTTGTGGGCCTGATAAATAATGATTTCATTTTGTTTTCTAGACATTCCACATTTTCATTCTGAATTTCCTATCCTATGTGACCAAAGACAAGTTGTTTGCAAATTTTTAGCTCCCAAAGGCCTTTTCAATTTTTGATTTTGTTATTCTGACTTTATTCACATTTTGATCATAGAATGTTTTCTGTGTTAGTTCTGTTTTTAGAAATAAATTGAGGTTTCATTTATACCCCAGTTTGTGGTCACTTTTTGTGATTGTCCCACAAGCGGTTGAAAAGATGGTGTTTTTCATTTTTAGGTTGCTAAGTTTTATGTCAGGTACCTTTTAATCATGTTAATGCGGTCCTTAAAAATGCATACTGTAGTTGCTCTTTCATAGGGTGAGAGAAATAAATCATTATCTCTGACTCCTAGTATGTTTTTATTTCCTGTAATTTTTATTTTTTGAAGGTTTTTTTTGGTATATTGGCATTTATAATGATTACATATTTCCTAAGACCTGAAGCTTTTGGCATTATAGCATGCCCTTCTTTGTTTTGTGTACACGATTTTGCCAAATTCTGCCCAGTTCCTAGTTTAGAGGGCAGGTTCTGCTTTTTGTTGACACATGGCTGGCATCTTGATCATTTTATTTGTAACCTTTCTGAAACACATCGATTATGTGTATCATGTCACTAGCGTCACTAGTGGGTCTCTCATGAACCATCCCCCCAGAATGTTCCCCTAGTATTGACCCTTCCCTTTGATCTTGGGCTGGCCCTGGACTTGCTTTAGTCTGTTAGGACATAGGGGGTAGTGATGCCGCAAGACTTCCAAAGTGAGATCCTAAGAGGTCTGCAGCTTTCATCTGGGTCCCTTTGCTCACTTCCAGGAAGCCAACTCCCACATAAAAAGATGGACTATTCTGAGACGGCCATGTTGTGGAGAATCCCAAGCTCAGTACGCTTCTCAGAGAGGGAGGGATGCCTGACCAACCCCTAGGTATTCCAGCCTTCTTGGTTGAGACACCAGATGTGGGGGAAGAAGTTACTCTGCAAGTTCAGCCCAGTTGGGCCTTCAGATGCCCACAGCTCTAGCCACCATTTGACTGAAACCTCATGAGAGACCCCAGGAAGTTCCCAGAAGAACCTGGTCTTCTGACAGATCTGTAAGAAATAATAATGAATTATTGTGTTAAGCCACCAAGTGTGGGGCTGTAGTTCTACAGCATTTGCAGGTTACTGAAACTGTTCATTGTAGAGGGCTTGGTTTTAAGTGTGTGTTTAGTACTTTTATACTTATTAATCACTATTGTTTCTGTTCTCTTGAATTACTTTGTATTTTCTGTTTAAATAGTTGTTTTTTCACTATCGGGTCTGTGTGCTTTGCTTCCAGGGTATAGTTCTGATATCTTAGAAGTGATATATATTTTTTAATGGTTCTCTTGATAGAATATACTTAATCTCTTCTTTTTAAATATATAATCTACTGTTTTTCTACTCTAAGTAATGAAAAAACAGCATTCCTTTTCCTTTCCCTTTTCTGCTCTACTGCCTGGTGTCAGCTAATAAAACAATCTTTTTAATGCTTCCCTTTGTACTTTTCTAAATGTTTATGTGTCTGCTCTTTGCACTGTAATCGCATATGGTTTTTACACAATGATGCTCTAAAGACAGACCACTACAGGGTTCTTGTTAATGTGGGGTGATGGAATCATCACGAGGTGGCCGTCCTGGGCCACTCTGGGGCAATTCATCTGCCCAGTTGGCTGATTCTCATACTCTGTGTACCCAACTGCACATATCAAACAACACTCATGCCTTTAATTTATATGCCTTCTGGTGTCCATTTCAATAACAATATTTGAAACGCCCCTAAACTACCTTTGAAGCGTCAATTCCTGAATATGCTAAGTGTATGGATTAAGGGACAGTTCCTGAATATGCTAAGTGTGTGGATTCCTGAATATGCTTTAGTGTGTGGATTAAGGGACACTTTGCACACATATGTTGTGCTGTTTTATACTGAATTTTTTTTTTTTTAATTTTATTGCTTTTTAGGTTTTGGGGTACATGTGAAGAATGTGCAAGATTGTTGCATAGGTACATACGTGGCAGTGTGATTTGTTGCCTTCCTCCCCTTCACCTATATCTGGCATTTCTCCCCATGCTATCTCTCCCCAACTCCCCACCCCCTGCTGTTCCCTCCCCTATTTCCCCCCAACAGACCTCGGTGTGTGATGCTCCCCTCCCTGTGTCCACGTGTTCTCATTGTTCAACACCCACCTATGAGTGAGAACATGCGGTGTTTGATTTTCTGTTCTTGTGTCAGTTTGCTGAGAATGATGGTTTCCAGGTTCATCCATATCCCTACAAAGGACATGTACTCATCGTTTTTGATGGCTGCATTGAAGTATTTTTAAAGTAAGTTACCTCCCAGGTAATTTAACTTGCCACCCTCAGAGTACTTCAGTATGTTCCCAGATTTTTCATGTCCTAAGTTATATGGAAAATAATCATATTTCTTGAATTGGGTGAAATTACTTTTAACTGGAATCAGGTCCCTTAAGCAAATGTGTTTTAGCAGTTAATCACTAATATACTTTTCTAGACATTGAAAATTCCTGGCTGGGTGAGGTGGCTCACCCCTGTAATCCCAGCACTTTGGGAGGCTGAGGGCAGATCACCTGAGTCCAGGAGTTTGAGACCAGCCTGGGCAACATGGCAAAACCCTGCCTCTACTAAAAATATAAAAATTAGCCTTGCATGGTGGCACACACCTGTAGTGCTACTTGGGAGCTGTACTTTTGTAGCTGGCTACTTGGAAGGGTGAGGTGGGAGGGCCACTTGAGCCTGAGAGGTGAGGCTGCAGTAAGATCACACCACTGCACTCTAGCCTGAGCAACAGAGCGAGACACCCTGTTTAAAAAGAAAAGAAAGAAAAGAAAATGCAAAGCAAACCAAAACAACAACAACAACAACAAAAAGAAAAAGGGATGAATATTTAATTAAAGCTCATCTGTGAATCTCAGTACTCCTTTTGCCCATTCTTTTGTGAAGCATCAATGAAATTGTATTCCTCAGCTTCTTACCCTTGAAAGTGAGCCCATACACAGATTACTTATCCTTTTTTTCTTCTTAGTGAGGAAATTCAATCTGGTGAATCTGTTTCTAGCACCTACATGGTTGGTAGGTAGAAATGGCTGGCCTCCTCCCAGTGATCTCAGGAACTTGCTGCAAGAATCTACAAGATGCTAGGGATGCTATAGACACGGGTGGCTCACAAGAAAAGGAAAATGAGAAATGGGAATGGGGTGAAGTAACCCAGCTGCTCTGCTAAGACAAACTATTACCTGGTTTTGAAAAAGTGATATAAGGATAAACAAATCCTGGGCACATGTGTTCTGCAGTTTTGGAATTATCAAAAAAGTAGATTGTTTAGGCAGGTCTGGGAAAAGTGTATTTTGTGGTTGTTAAGAAAACAGGAGATTTATAGCTAAAGCATATAACTCTTGATTATGTAAGTGTCACTGACAATCTTAACTATTTACACTGGCACATGGTAGCCAGACAGTATGGCTTTGAAAAGTGATCCTGGATACTTCTCACTCAAAGTAGATAACCAAAATAGAGATGATGGTGAAGTGGCTTCATTTATCTTAACAGAAATTGCCATATTAGGCTGAGATACATTCCAAGATGTCCTCATCTTTTTCTGACCAAAAATTCTGATCCTGAATTCAGTAAGAAATCTTTTAAAAAATCACTTTAGGAGACTTTACTCTCTGACAAGATCTGTGGTATTTTGGATTTTCATTTGTACCTCCTTTGCTTCTCCAGAGTAAACCATAAACTTCTCGGGTCGATGTCTTTACCTTTTGTGGGATTTTCCAGGATCTTGTTACAGATATTTTTATGACCTGAAGAAATCTCAGAAGTGATCCTGAAAATCAAGAAATTAGCTTTAGAGGTGAGGAAACAAGAGGAAGGATGTTATGCTACTTGTCCAGGTCATAAAACTATTAGATGGAATCTTATGAAATTCCCATTGTCACAGGTCAAAGCAAATCCGATATTGGTAGTTTCATACATAGCTAAGCCTAAATGTTTGGTATTTGAAGCAGGAAGGAAGTGTGGTATGGGATGTATCCACACCTTGTCATATTCACAAAGTCTTCTCCACCTAGAATGTTTGCAGCAACACAGTCATAACATAAATATTTGCTGATAGGTTAACTGAAAATTCAGAAGTCTCCAAATGGAATATTAATTCTGTGGCATGCTGGGTTTCAGAATGGGCCTGCTGGAGAATGAAAATCTAAGTACCAGATGAATATTTGAAGCTGGCATCTTTATGGCTGTGTCCTAATTGAAATATGCTTTGGAAATTAAATATGTTTTTTTGTTCTTCCACTAACTTTATTGTGATCTGTTCCTTGGTTGCTTCAATTTATCACAACTATAACAGAAATAATTTTATGAGATATCGTTTAGATTTATATAACTAATTCTAAAAGCAGAATCACACAGAAAGAGCGATAAATATCTCTGGAGGCCAAGAAATGTGATCCCAAACATGAGTGTGTTACATATAGTAACTAGTGACACAGACCATCTCGGGAACCAGGAGGTGGGGAGAGATAGTAATGGCCCATTCTTTTTATAAGAGGAGGAATTATGACTAAATCTTGGTCTTTAAACCTACAGACGAATTGTAATAATTTAAAATTTTGTTTTTATCATGGGGACTGTTACTGCAGGTTTCCTTAAAGCTTAATTTTGGAACACGGAGGACTGATTTAATCTCTTTGGGAACATTCAAGTCATGCTAATGAACCAGACTGATTATGTGTTTTTGTGCTGATCCATTTGACTTCTGTTCAGAGACTAAAATGAAATGAAATGAAATTGCTTTCACTAAGCTTTTCTAGAGAAGTTTTCCGTCAGCAATTAAAGGTCAAAGAGAAAGAAGCATTTAAAATGTGGGTCGTGAGTGAGTGAGTGTGAAACTGAATTGCAATCAATAGCTTAAGCTGCTAGAGAGATAATGTGAGCCCATTGATTAGAGGGTTTGTTCTTTAAAGAGAAGTTACTTTGTATCACAGATTATTCTTTCAAATCTTCAAGCATGTCTGTGTAATTAGTGTTTGTTCCAATAGTTTCAACTTAATGTTTAAAAGATAGGTGGTTAGTTTTACATTTTATTGGTGACTTGATAGTAAGATAGAGCCTAGCCTGGATCCTGAGTTTCTAATGTGTTTAAAATTTTAAGAAATAGTATTAGGTAACTGGGCGCAGTGGCTCACACCTGTAATCACAGCACTTTGGGAGGCTGAGGTGGGCAGCTCATGAGGTCAGGAGTTCAAGACCAGCCTGACCAATATGGTGAAACCCTGTCTCTACTAAAAACACAAAAATTAGCCAGGTGTGGTGGTGCATGCCTGTAGTCCCAGCTACTCGGAGGCTGAGGCAGGAGAATCACTTGAATCCAGGAGTCGGAGGTTGCAGTAAGCCAAGATCATGCTATTGCTCACCAGCCTGGTGACAGAGCAAGACTCCGCCTCAAAAAAAAAAAAAAAAAAAAAAGAGAGAGAGAAAGAAAAAGAAATAGTATTAGCCATGTAGGAAACCCCAGTTTCTCCTTAATTCATGGTATATCTATTATATTCTTATTGGCTTTGATTATTATTTTTATGATTGAATTTTATCTCCGCTATTGCCTTATTATTGATTCCTCTTAATATTTTACTGGCTGTCTGATGGTTTACAACACATCTCTTTAATTCATTACAGTCCAAGGACAAATAATGTTATACCAACATAAGTGGCATAAAGACCCAGCAACAGTATACTACCTTCCTCCCTCTCATCCTTTATGCTGTTATTGGAATATATTTTACCTTTACAGGTATCACAAACATATAATACATTGTATCTATTTTTGATTTAGAAATCAGTTGTCTTAAAACAGGCAATGGGGAAGGGACTTTCTGTTCAATAAATGGTGTTGGGAAACTGGCTAGCGATGTGCACAAAGCAGAAATTGGAACACTTTCTGACACCTTACACTAAAATTAACTCCAGATGGATTAAAGATCTAAACATAAGACCCAACACCATAAAAACCCTGGAAGAAAACCTAGGCAAAACCATTCAGGGCATAGGCATAGGCAAGGATTTCATGGCTAAAACACCAAAAGCACTAGCAACAAAAGCCAAAATAGATAAATGGGATCTAATTAAACTCCAGAGCTTCTATACAGCAAAAGAAACAATCACTAGAACAAACCAACAACCAACAGAATGGGAAAAAATTTTTGCAATCTATCCATCTGACAAAGGGCTAATATTCAGAATCTACAAAGAACTAAAACAGATTTACAAGAAAAAAA